TTGCCAGCTGTTACAATCCAGTAAAGAGACATCATGTTCAACTACACTCTTTTCTTTTGAACAGAGATTTGCTGGCTGTGGGAGAAGCTGGGGAAAAGCACTAGGAAGCAGTGGATGGGGCTGCTTGGCTCTCAGTATTGAAGGAGAGTTGGCAGGACCAGGAAGCAGCCGGCAACTAAAACTGGTGACGAAGTAGTAGTGGGTGCAGCAGGAGAAAAACATCATTAGAAAGTAACAAGGAGACAAAGCCAAAAGGAAAGAGCAGGATGATGGACCAGTAACCACTGCAGACCCACCAAGATCTCTGAGGACATGCAGCCATCAAGGTAGCCGTGGCACCAGCAGGCAAAGAAGCTAATGCCTCCTCCTCCTTACCGCTCAGCCCTGCTGAGGCTGCTGCCACCTGAACTAGCCATCTTCTCCGCCACCTGCCAACCCCCATGATGCTAGTTTTCTGTTGAAATCTATCTTGGATTTAGTCATCAAATGCGTTTAGGTCAAAAGAGTCACGATTTCTTTCCCAGGCTTGCAAATGTTATCAGTATTGAGGCTGGCTGAATTTCAAATTTCAATATGTTGACTTAATGTCAATACAAAAAAGAGGGCATTTCATAGATTCACAGAATAGTTGAGTTTGGAAAGGACCTCTGGAGGCCAGCTGGCCCAAACTCTGCTCAAAGCAGGGCCAGCTTCACAGTTAGATCATGTTGCTCAGGCACTATCCAGCTAAATTTTGAGTCTCCCCAAGGATGGAGGCTCCCCAACCCCTCTGGGCAACCTGTTCCAGTGCTTAAGCACTCTCATGGTGAAATGTCCATGGCAGCTTCCTCATGTGGCTTATCAGTTGACTAAAATGAGACTTTTCTGACAAAATTGAAATTATGACAGCATATGACACTATACTGTGAAGACTTAAAAGGACTTTTCTTTCAAAATGAAAATTTCTCACTTTTTTTAAACCAGTCCATGGTATCTTCCAATTACAATAACTTGGGTTTTTACCTCATTACCTATGCAGAACAACATCTGCAAGTTCACAGCATCAATTTTTGAAATCACAATACAGTGTCGTAGAAAAGGTCAATGCAAAAGATAACACCAGAAAAGCAAAGGAAGAGTAAAGGCGGCAAGGTAGGGTTTTCAGAGGCATCTAGGGCACTGCAAGTTCACAGGGATCTCAATACCATTCATTAGCCATAGTATTACTGCTGACCCCACGACAGTGTGTATTTATGAGCAGATAAAACCCCATCTGTTCCTCAGAGAGTTCCAAAGTTAAGGCAGCACCCACTTAAGAGAAATGTAAAAAGAACACTATTTTGTTTCTGTCACGCATAATAAATGTAGCAAAGGGAAATAACAAGTGCAAGCTTATTACTCACAATTGCTGACAATGATGTTTAACTTGTCAACCAGTGATACTACGAAGACACCTGAACAATGTCATTATTAATAGTCATTGCAAAGCCAATGGGAAATCAACCACTGCAGAGCACAGGAGCAGGAGCTGACATTTAGCATCATACAGTAATCCCATCTATATTGAATGCTTCTAAATTGGGCCAACATGAGCACAGAGCAGCAGAAAGAGGGGATGCTTTCCAGCACTTTCCAGTCATCAGGTGATATATGTTGCAGCCACCCCACCCCATTCACCAAATGCCAAACATTACCCTTAGTCTGTGACAAGGACCAAATAAAATGGGACGAAAGGTGAAATGCACTGTCTCCTTCCTTTTGTGTGAGCAACTCTCTCAAAGGTGTTTCATGATCACACTTCCCCACCCCACGGTGACTTGTACATATTAAAATGGCCGAGGCACCGAACTGACATGGAACAGGGAAGCACCCAGGTTTTATAAACTGAGTGTGTCTGAAAGGCACGTTTTAAATGCCTCACCATAGTCTCTTCCTGAGTTCTGCACACTAGTTAATCTAACAAGATGTACTCACCCTACAGAAGGAAGGACAATTACCTCAGATGCCCTGGGATCACGACTTTTTGCTGCTCTGTACAATTAAATGGCCTTTGCTCTCAGCAACCTACAACTTTTTGAGGGAAAATGCACAGAAACTACAAAACCTGTTCGCAAGAGGCTCTGCTAATGCCCTGTGACCACAGCCTGCTCAGTTCCAACTAACCTGCAAATTCCCAGTTTGCTTTTGATTGGGGAAGATATGGTCCATCCAAAGTAAACACAGTTTCCAAGCCTGAGATGGTAAATGCACAAACCCCTATGCTATGACCATGATAATTCATTTCTCCCCTTTTCAAAAACAGCATGTCATGAAGGGATCTGAAAAATTGTTTCTGGCCTCTCCACGTGTCACGGTATTTCTGATCTGCCGATAAAATAGATACAGCGAGGAAAGACTCTCTCTCTGGCACTTTGTGTGACTCCTTCACATGTTATTCCTCTGCTGGCAAACAACACCCTGCGTGATGGGAGTCCAAAACAAGAATTGCTCTTGTGAAGCCAAAAACTTACAGGAGGAAGAGAATTACCACTGTCAAAACCACCTCTTGCCTAATCTAACGTGTGTCGGACAGGGCACGCTGCACTCCCAGGAGCCACTGGTTCCCCTGGGGCTTGCAGGGAGCTGCTGACTTCCCCTGCCACAAAGGGTTTCACTCTCTCTGCCTGCCTTAATGATTACTGTAAATTCTTGCAAAATCAGCATTTCAGCCTACCAAACTGAGACACTGTGACACTTGCTCCAACAGGGTCTCTCATTTTGCTTGCAGTTGAGGGTACCAGTAAAATGGTAAAACACCAATGCAAGAATCCTTTGAGCAGCTGGTCCTGAAACAACCTGATACCTAAACCAAGAACTTAATGTCACATCACACCTGGCAGTTCCTTATCTAACAAATTATCTTTATATGCTAAAAAAAGAAAGCATCATAATATTTAAGCAGTGTTCCTCACTGAAAAATCAGACTTTTCAGGGTGAAGCCTGTACTCTGACATCTGATCAAGCCACCCTACAGGTCTGGCTGAACGCAGAGCACCTTCTGCAGCTTCAGAGCCAGCACGCAGTCACCGGTGGTGTTAAATCCATACCCATGAGTACCTTACACTGCTTTGAACAGATGAACCTACCAAAATTATTTGGGACAGAACTTTATGCAGTGCAGTTGCTTTTGAGCTAAGCATGAATTTCTGTTGCTACTTAGAAGCCGAAAAACAAAGCTATGAACCCAAATTCATATTCATTCCCAGATCCTTCCATTTCTGGTGAACAAACCTGACCCTGCCTTGATTCTTGGCTGGAATCACATCTTCTCTCTGCAGATTAATCTATGTATTTTAAATGTTGTCACCCACCCACAGTTATTTAGCAAAATGCTTGAGAAACAATGTATTTGAATTGCTCACAAAGAAAAATCCACTGTAAGAAAGATGACTGCAAAGCATTTACAATTGTTTTCACCAAAAAATTTCAAATAAATTACTTTAAAATTAGGCACTTTCATGTTTTCATGAAAGTCTTCATTCAAGCACGTGAATTGCCTTAAGCTTGTTTAATGAATGTTTTTCACTAAAGACCACAATTTAATTCAATTAATAAGAGATTTTTAAAGTGGGGTTAATAAATTAAATACCTCCACTGACATTTTAAAAACATTAAGAGTAAAGCTTATGCAAATTTTGTTGCCAGTAAGACAATTTCATTTTTTGGCCTCTCTGTATAAGCAAGGGTTTTCTTGTTCTCCTGAGTTACACACAATCTCTATACATTACTGAATATACTACTTTAATCTTCAGCCAGCTTCTTCCATGTCTATAGACAAAGCATGCAGTAATCCAAATATGAAAGGAGTAATTGAATCGATTCAAAGGTGACACTAACATGACTGCAATAATGAAAACAAAAAAAATAATAAAAAGCTATTTATTGTTTTATCAACCAGTTCTTCTAAAAGCTTCCCAAAGAAATTCGTCCACATCGGTCTGAAACTGCCTGTCTGCAATGGATGCAACAAATCCATCTGACAAGTCTTTTAAATGGCCCACAAAACAGTGATGTTGTTTGACAGATACACATATGCGCTGTCCTTTTATAAGTTAATGCAAGGCATTGTCCACTTTAGAAGCATCTTTTTAAGCTGGAATTATATTCACCTGTATTATTGACATCAGCACAGATAATTAAAAATGAAGGAAATTTCCTTTTCCTTTCCTCTATGTTTGTTTGCTCTTCTCTTTTTTCTGTCTATACAGAAGTCAGTTACATTAGTTTCATTTTTAAACTTATTTAATTGCTATATCTGTCAGGCATAAGCTCTGCATAGGAAAAAAGCACTTTGCCTGGAGTCTTCATTTCCGTGCCTTTAAGTCTCAGTTGTGCTTAGCCATGGTTATACTGAATCTGCAGACAAATACTGTTTGATTTTTTTTGTTTTGGTTTGGTGGGGGTTTTTGTTGTTTACAAGGGCTTAATGCAATACAGTAAGGTGCAGCAGAGTGGAAGGACTGCATCAGCCTTTTGTAGTTATCACACCCGGCCACACACAACAGATGTACTACCACATCAAAACATGTAAAGTGGGCAGCTCTCTGCTGCTGGGGTCAATGATATTACCTACATACTTGGCTCCTACACAATGCTGAAAACTCCCCAGTTTTGAAGAAGATACCCCGCCAGCCAACACGCAGTTGCCAGGACTGTGGCAGGAGCACATATTTTGGGAGAAAGGAGAAAACCTCCTCACAAACCTGTACTTGCAGGTATACACCCTACTGAACTCCATTACAGCACCGGTCTATACCAAATTAATTTTTGATTTTCAAGTAGAAATAATCGACTAAAACATGAAAGACTGACCTTGGGTTCTTCCCTTTTGCTAACCACATCAACAGTGCAACGCCGTTCCTGGAGAGGGGACCCTCCACAACCCCGCCACTGCAGGCGGGGGAAGATGTGCAACAGCAGGCAGTAGTAAGCAACATCAGCCCTCGCCCCCAGCAGTGAGCATCGCCCTCCCAGCACTTTACCTGACGCTGTGCCAGCTGCCATCATGGCTGTATTCACCGAGTGCACAGGGCTGCCGCTTTCCAACAAGAGACAAGAGCTGCCACCACTGTTCCTCTTAACGAACGTATCGGGGGAACTGGGCAAGGGCACCGGGTGGCTGATTCCCAGTTCCTCTTCCTGAGCTTGCTGTCTTCTCAGCGCAACCTAGGAACAAGAAGACGGATGTAGGGCATGCTCTCTGGCTTGAGCACAATTTATAATGGCAACAACAAAAGACTCAAACTCAAGGCTGTTTTTTCCTCTTGGTACTCTCTATGGTGTTGATGTCACAATCCAGCCAGTGGGTAGAGGAGGATATAAAGGAGGTTATAAAGCTATTTAAAACCAACCCCTTTTTGTGTCCAAACATACATGAACAAACCTATGAAATGCTGGTGCCATATACATCTTCCTCCAATGAGGCCACGTGAAGATGTATTAAAACTGACCACACTCACCCAAGACAGTTGCTCTTGGGCAAAGCTTACTGTGAAAAGTGTAGTCACTACCCTCCTCTCTGCTGATACACAGCTGCTGGGGATAAGAAATTAACCTACTTGCAGGGCTCTGCTGTGCCTCTTCATCAATATAAAGCAGCTCTTCAAAAGGACTTATACCTGCACTCTGCTCCTCTGTCCAAGGCTGCTGGGCTCTCTCGCTGGCTCTTTGCTGGAAATCTAGCCCTTCAAAGGAATTTCAGTACACTGTACACAGACAGCCATCATGGAAGAAGCACGGCAAATGTGGGGAACTACCCTGCGAGCATCTCAGGCAGTGTCACACACACTGCAGGTAGCTGGCCAGGCCTGGAGCAGCAGGAGCTCCCCACTTCTTTCCCAACACTGATGATGTTCCAAAGCCTAGCCAGCACTGGCCAAGCCCACAGGCACTACACAGTCTGGACATGGGTGCAAACAAACCATATTTGCTGCTTATGGAAGATACAGAGGACCCCTCCTGCCTCATGTGAACTGGCAGATCAATTTTGCACAGCTGTTCACCCATGCCAAGTCGTGATACATGTCCAGGCAGTATATATGACACTGGGGGCCTTACAGCTACGTGCCCTGCAACTTGCCAGGTGACTGATTTGCATCTGTATTTGAACCTTGGAAATCTGTTCCAAATTACAGACTGGGATGATGGGCTTTTCTTGCTGGAAATTCTCCTGAGTAACTTGGACAGGATCTTCCCTCCATTTCCATGTTCAACAGCAACATTCTTCTAATACAGATGCATAATACCATTAGAGAAATTAATATCTCTTGCAAGAAACACATACCAAACAGGAGGGGTAGACTTGCAACCACCACGGGTAACTTTGACTTCACAAGCCAGTAACCTTGAACTGTAAAATTCCACCAGTGCCAAGAGGCTTACTGCAGAAAGATATTGTAAGGGGGAAAGACAGACTTTCAACGTGTAACTCCTACACAGATAAGGTTTAGTTAGGGAGGCTTTCAAAGCCACTTTCAAGTACTACGCAGGGAAGAGAAAACCCCCAGGAGGACCACGACCAGAATCTGCTACCAGGAGGCTGACAGAAGCTGCTGGGCAGCAGGAAAAACAGTCTGTGCAGAAGGGGACACTTGTGCGGGGAATACCCCATTTCATGTTCCCTCCCTTGAGGCAGGCAGCAAAGGGATCCAAGTTTATTATCCCGTGGTTCTCACCAGGCAGAGAAAGCCCATTAACTTGGGCATAACAACAACTTCTGGACTGCCACGCTGCAGACAAAGAGAAATTATCTAAATGAACGAAAGCTCCCCGTGGTTTCAGGGGACATTTAGTATACCTGCACTGAATAGTTGCAGTGGGGGAAGTGGGGAAGGATTTAATCCAGGGCTACTAAGGTTTTTAAAACCTGTCAGTGGGACGGACGCTCATTTTATGCGGGATTACAAAGCTCTGCGCGCCCATTAATTGCAAACTGGGTCGGTGGGTCTGATACCACGGCCTATACCTGCACCAGTAGTCCTAACGCCTTCCAACTAATTTGTCTGCAGGGGACTACTTGCACGAACGAGTACGTGCAACCCCCTCACAGAGCTCAAGCACCGAGTAGCCATTACACTCCCAAGACTCCTCTTAATGAAGTTTTCGAGATAAGGATCACAAGGACTAACACAACGGCCATTTACATCGCCAAAGAGTTGTGACTTCTGCGGGACTACCCAACGGACAAAGTTATTCGTACGCAGAACTGGATGCAGTTTGGTGTCTTAGCGAGTACCACCGAGTCCTCGTTTGGATTGAAGATGACCGAGCTACGCTGCTATTTACAGAGCCGCTCTATGCAAAATCAGAAACGACGCTGTCAAAAAACCAGCCACTTCAGAAACGCACTCAACTAAAGCCACCTAGCATCAGGAAAAGCAGATACACCGGACCTGAAACGCCAGTGGAAAACATTGTCGCTAACCAATTATTTGGGTAGATTACCCACTGCCTGGTTAAAAAACGAGCCGAAAGCCGGCCGTTCGAGGTTAACTAGCAGTCCTCCTCCCCGGCGGCGTTAAAACCGCTCCGCGCACTGCAGGGCGGCCGGCAGCTTGCGGCTCTGCCCATCTTCGGGCGGAGATGCGTGCAGGCGTGCTCGGAGGTGGGCAGCCCAACGCCGGCCCCTGCCGCCGGCCCCTGCCGCCGGCGCAGCGTGACTTAAAATCTTACGCGCCTTCGGGGCACCTCCTGGTTTTTTGCCAGAGAAACC